CGTGTCCCACTTTGAGCCACGGTTATGTAATTTGACCCTAACTCTCAAATGCTACACCCCAGAGAGGTCGCTTTCCTTGACTTTTCCAAACTTAGGTAGGCACAACTTTTGGTGGGGGTGTCACTTGTGGGGTCAGTCTCAGTGGGGCACAGTGGAAGCTGGAAAATATGACCTCCATAGGGTTGTGTACCGTGACCTTTGGTCCCAGGGGATTTGGTGTGGTTGGCAAAGTTTTGGTTTAGCCTGTCCCAGGCCCAATATCCACAGAATAATATCTCCAAACCAACCAATGGGTTACCAAAGGAACACAAGACATCTAAGATGGACACAGATAACTCCTAGACCCTTTAATTAGATAATTAAAAGCTTGGCCCAAAGTGGGGCACGCTAACGGTGGTTAAGGAAGCCAAAAACGCAGCCTTCGGACGGTTAAAAAATATTCAAGCAGCCAGTGATAATGGGGGGGGGGGAAGAAGCAATGCCTCCCAGCTGAGGCTTATCATGAACCCCCTGCCCCTCCCCAGATTTTAGAATGTGTGAATTTGCAAAATGCATAAACGTTGCCTTTGAAGTGCCCCACCCAGTAATAACATCAGCCTCCCACCATACCCCACCCTATCATCTCTCTTCTACTCCTCTCAACATCCCATCTATCTCCTACCCTGCCCCTGTCCATCGATCTAGTCTATTTCCTATCCTGCCTATGCCCCATTATCCCACTTGTCTCATAAGCTGCCCCTCCCATTCTCCCATCCATCTCCCTCCCCACCTCCTCCCCAACATCCCATCCATAACTAAAGGTAAGCACTAAATAGATGGATACAAATGTTTATATATTTTCCATGAGTCATGATATCATTAACATGCCCCAGTACTTGAAGGAAGTCGATGTGCAAACACACCCCAGCTGTTTGTGCTGTCATTGAGTACTACGAGTCACCTTGAGTCAAGACAGCATATGTCATCGTAGAGAAACGAGCGATACAGCAGTCATCTGTCGTGAAAGCTGTTGATGTGTACTTCAAGGTGCACTTCATTTTGGATTGTAAATACCAACAGCAGTGCAAAAGGGATGGACCTTCTTTGAGAAGTGCATCTATGCACAAAAAGGTGCTACAGCCAGAGAATCTGCTTCGTTGAGAGGCCTACAGGCTTACCTAGCCCATAAAAAAGTCCTGTAAGCAGCAGATGTGGAATTCGCTCATGTACACTTCTCTAATATAAAGTACAAGACGAAATGGAGGTGTTTAAAATGAAAGTCTTTAAAAGGTGTTGAAGACCAAATTTAAGTTTGTTTTTGGTATTTAAACTGTTAGCAGAAGCTGCATCATTATTTTGAACAGGACAAGACGAAATGGGGGTGTTTAAAATGAAAGTCTTTAAAAGGTGTTGAAGACCAAATTTAAGTTTGTTTTCGGTATTTAAACTGTTAGCAGAAGCTGCATCAATGTTTCGTTTCAAATTGTGCCCACTTATGAGGAAACAAGTTGTCAACAGTTGTGCAACTCATATTACCAAATGCAAGGGAAACATGNGTGACCCACTTTGAGCCACCGGTTATGTAATTTGACCCTAACTCTCAAATGCTACGCCTCAGAGAGGTCCCTTTCCTTGACTTTTCCAAACTTTGGTAGGCACAACTTTTGGTGGGGGTGTCACTTGTGGGGTCAGTCTAAGTGGGGCACAGTGGAAGCTGGAAAATATGACCTCCATTGGGTGGTGTACCTTGACCTTTGGTCCCTGGGGATTTGGTGTGGTTGGCAAAGTTTTGGTTTAGCCTGTTCCAGGCCCAATATCCACAGAATAATAGCTCCAAACCAACCAGTGGGTGACCAAAGGAACACAAAACATCTAGGATGGACACAGTTAACTCCTAGACCCTTTAATTAGATCATTAAAAGCTTGGCCCAAAGTGGGGCCTGCTAACGGTAGTTAAGGATGCCAGAAATGCAGCCTTCGGACGGTTAAAAAATATCCAAGCAGCCAGTGATAATGGGGGGGGGGAGAAACTAAAGAAGCAATGCCTCCCAGCTGAGGCTTATCATGAACCCCCTGCCCCTCCCAAGATTTTAGAATGTGTGAATTTGCAAAATGCATAAACTTTGCCTTTGAAGTGCCCCACCCAGTAATAACATCAGCCTCCCACCATACCCCACCCTATCATCTCTGTTCTACTCCTCTCAACATCCCATCTATCTCCTACCCTGCCCCTGTCCATCGATCTAGTCTATTTCCTATCCTGCCTATGCCCCATTATCCCATTTGTCTCCTAAGCTGCCCCTCCCATTCTCCCATCCATCTCCCTCCCCACCTCCTCCCCAACATCACATCCATATCCAAAGGTAAGCACTAAATAGATGGATACAAATGTTTATATGTTTTTCATGACTCAGGATATCATTAATGTGGTGGACTGGACTATAAAGATCCACCGTCCTGATAATGGGGCGACATGATACTAATTTTTAGGGTCGTGATAGGGGATAAATTCTGGGACATTTAGTTGTAATTTGATTATATTTCGATTGTAAACCTCCTATATAATTATAAGTAATATGATTAAGGTGCTCAATATCTTTATTAAGACTGTTACTCAAAAATTAAGGAGAATGACAATTTTGTTCGGGCGTATATGTAGTGATATTGAAAAGTTTTACTGCCGGGACAAGTTTGCGTCTGGACTTGCCGCCAAAACCTAGCGACATGTAGACGTTTGTATTTTCAGCGGACGTCAAATCACCCGGATCCTGGTTTAATCTTCAAAAATATAAGTTGATGGATCGAGGGGGAGGATCGGTTGGTAAGCTAGATTATGTTGAGTTAATTAAGCGATCTATTGTGGCCTTGAAAAAGGGAAACGACACACCCTTAAGGGTCTGTGCGGGCCCACAACATGT